TAATCTTTAACAGTAAGTTGTTGTAATAACGCCTTCTGTTGAAAAAGATGGCTTTGCTCTTATCGGGATTCAGTTCGATTCTCCATTTTCTGCACCAATCTCCTAGTGCGTTTGCTGCAGCTTGGAGTCGACTGCAGATTGTAATGGGATGGAAGTCTGAAGAGTAGATGGTAGTATCATCCGCGTATAGTGCGAGATGAGTACCTACTACCGAAGGGATGTCACTTGTGTAAAGTGAGTACAGGGTCGGAGAGAGCACCGAGCCCTGGGGAACTCCTGCTCTGATTGATCTGGAAGAGGAGAATGTACCCTCCACGCGAAAACGGAAGGATCTATTTGTAAGAAAATCTTGAACGATTTTGACAAGTCTTAAGGGCACCCCTGTATGGATAAGTTTGAAAACTAGTCCATTGTGCCAGACTTTGTCGAAGGCCTTGGCCACATCGAAGAACAGTGCTCCTGTGTAAACAGGGCGCCTGTTCGCCCTTGCAGCCTGATCTAAAATGTGCTCCGTGAGGCGGTGCACCTGTTGGACACTTGAGTGTTTGGCTCGAAAGCCAAACTGCTCGTTTGGAATTAGGTTCTTACTTAGCACTGCATCCTTCAGACGGCTGAGGATGATGCGCTCATAGATTTTCCCCATGGCACTGAGGAGACTGATAGGTCTATAGCTTGAAGCTCTGTCTCTAGGTTTGTTCGGTTTGTGAATACCGATTACTTCTGCTTCTTTCCACACTTGTGGGAAGGTGCAGGTGGACAATAGAACATTGAAAATAGCCACTAGAAGGCAGATCAATTTTGGGGGAAGAGCTTTAAACACTTTGTTATTTATACCGTCGGCGCCTGGCGCTTTTCGAGGTTTGTGATTTTTGATGATGGTTTTCACCTCATCAAAAGTAACGGGAGGGAGTGGATCATCCGTTGGTGGGGTGGCGGACAAATTGGCCGCTTCCTCGTCCACCTTGTTCAGGTGGACGGGGTCGATTGGCAAGGTGCTTGGAGAGCATTGGCTCTCGATGCTATCCGCCATGCACTCGGCCTTCTCCGAGTCGTCGAACGCTAACTGACCATCAGATCTAACTAATGGGGGCATCGAAGCGACATTTTCTGATTTAAGAGATCTCGCCAGCTTCCAGAAGGCTGTATGCGAGGGCGAGATATCCTCCATCAGATTGTCCCATCGTGACTCCCTCAGCTGGGCCATGCGCTCCTTGACCTCTCTACAGAGGCGGCGCAGATTGGACCTATTATTGTCTGTTCTATAACGATCATAGGCCCTCACCGCAGCGTTTTTCTCTCTCAGTAATCGCCGTACATCCCCTGGGAGCTCAAAACGACGATCGTTCGACGCCTTGAGCCGCCTCGAGGATTCCTCGGCAACCACCTTTATGTGAGAGGAGATGTGAGAGATGGCTTCTAAGGCCACTTCTTTAGTGTCTATAGCGTCTGGCACTTGATCTAAATATTCTGTGTTCATAGTTTCGAGGTTGGCCTCGAACCTATGCCAGTCCGTAACAGTTTTGGTTGTAAGAACCTCATTGCTGGACTGTCCTAACGACATTATAACCGGACGGTGGTCCGAAGTTAACTCATGCACCACTTCTATGGAGCGTAACGTTAATGTTACGTTCCTGAGTAGTGCTAAGTCGATTTTAGTCGGATTATGAGTTCTATTCGTTAAAAAACTAGTGTCCTCCGGAGGAGCTATTATATTGAACTCTAGGCTATCACTAAGTGCAAATAAGTCATAGCCGTTGAGGTTGTCCTTAACTTTCCTATTATTAGTCCAGACTTGATGTTTGCTATTAAAATCGCCTGCTAATATGACCGAATTACTAAGGTTAAATAGAGCTTCAAAATCGCTCTTTACTATCTTTTTATTGGGTGAGAGATATACAGAGGCTACCGTGATCGGTTGATGACCGGTCATGGCTACTCTGCAAACGGAGGCCTCTAGATCAGTTAATTGAGGCGTGTCTATGGGAACTACATGTAGGGACGACCTATAATAAATAAGAGTCCCTCCTAATCTATTCCCTATACGATCGTTCCTAATTACTCTGTAATTGGCTATTTTTGGGTCTCCAAGCGTAGCAACTATGTAGTTACTTTTTTATAGGATAAGGGTGACAAACGAGCACACAGTTCACCTGATGGTAAGTGGTTGCTATAGCCCATAGACATCTACATCTATCTTTGTTTGCGAATTAAAATGCAGAAGCGTTGTCAGCCGTGAAGAGAGATAGAATGCCTCTTTTCCAGTAAAAAAGGTCTCCGGTTCTCTACACTCACCATACAAAACACAGCAGCGTTAAGCTACTATTTTACGCTGGTATTTTATGAGAGCGTGGTCCTTCCCTGGTCGAGCCGACACATTCGTGCTACAACCATACTATTAATATAGCTGCAGCATGGCTCTACCACGTGTAAACTATAAAAATTTCGTCCCCTATTTTCCTATACATTAGTTTTCTCCAAATTAACAAGGGATAACGCCTGAAATACAATCTATTTAGTAAACAAGAATCATTAAAATTGATTTACAATAAACGTAGATATTGAGTTACATACATATTAATAATTTAAAATTAAAAATTTTGTACAGCCGACTTCAATATAAGTTATTAAGAATAATTCAAAAACTATTGGTCTATTAAAATGAAGCGTCATTTGAAATAAAATAATATTTCTTTCATGGCAAGATAAGAAAAAGTGCGAGGGAGATGGATATTATTCCATCTCTTTTTCTTATTTCGCCGCCAAGGCCGTCTACACTATGACACAAGGGGTAGTGACGAAAAAATCTTACACTTTTTGTCGCCTAGCCCCCATCCGCCAAACCCGTACAGTCCGATAAGAAACTTCGTTCCAAAAAACATGCAGTCGAATTGAGTGCCGTCTCCTTTTTGAAGACGGTAGAAATACAAATTTCGAAATCTAGATACCCAGAATACCGACCAGGAATGCATATTTTATTTCATTCGGCTACAATAATATTAATGTTAAAAACACATACATCTATATACATATACATACATGAGGTTTAACGTGAAATAGCAAGGGTAAACTGACAGCTCAGTGGATAAGTAGGCCAAAGTGGCAACGGGCCGGCAATATAGTTCGAGGAATCTACAACCAATATGGGAGATAGGTTCTCGAGTGGCAGCAGTGTTGGGAATGGTGGCTGTAAGTGTAATGATGATGATGACATGCGTCTTCTTTTTAAACGACGAAGTTTCGAAGTGACGTCGAAAACAAACCAAAACTATTCCCAACGTTCTTACTCCGCATAAATCCTTGAGAAACGCTAAGTTAGAGGAACATTTGATGAGTTGGAATGTTCATTTATTTATTAACATAAACTTCATGTACAAAATTGTCGAACATACAGGTGGATTTAATGCCTTAGCCAATCTTTACAGTTAATTGAGGTGGTGCAGATATAAAAAAATGTAGAAATAAGCTAATAAAAATTAGGTAATTAACTTGAAAGTAAAGCATTATTGAAGTACAAAATGTCATCTTATCCCGTTAGAGCCGTTTCAGAGAAGCCAGTTACATAAAAAACACAAATAGAAGTATGCATTTATTAATATTTTTTATTTTAATGGTTCAAAAAAAGTGGTAAGTTAAGTAATATTAAATTGGGTAGATATCATATTTTTACTGGTAACGGGGCTCAGTCCTCAGGGGTGTCAACGCATCTACAATTTGATTGTTCATTGAGGGTAGATGTAGGTGTCAATCGGCCACGGCATCCACTTATAATGAGATGTATGATCCGCTATCACCCTACATTCTATAAAAATACTGGTCTTGTCTCTGGGTAAGGGCATCCCAGACCCAGTTTCTTCCTCTTGACCGTATCCAGCGAAGAGCGGTCTGAATAGCTGATGACTGATTTGTTTTTAAACGGGTCGCTACTCAGGCGCTGCGAGAAGATATTGCATCCATTTACCTCATTTACCACGGGGAGTACTCATAGGAATTGTTCAGATTAATTCCAGCGGCCAAACTCTACCATCGCACATCGCGATGAAATTCAGGATACCGTATGTTTCACCATTATTTTTATTGTTCATCAAACGTTCTCTTCCTCGTACGACTTCTTTGTGGAATCAATTTCCATTAGTGCATTCAAAAGATTTCAAATTGAACTGAGAATCAAGAATAGATAAAACTGAATCATGATACATAGAATAAATTCGCATTTCCATAAATTCAAAGCGCATGTAAAAAACAACTTGTTTAACACTGTTTAAGACATACTGTCAAACACTTTATACGTGCAATCCATGGGTCAACTACACGCGGGGGGGCTATCAACGATCTCAGAGTACAATATAATAATGGTTTGAGGATGTTGTTGGGGCCTCCAAGTTACTGCAGTGCATACTGATGGGTTTCACTTTCACACCGTAGTGCGCAAGCGAATCGCATCTCTCCTGCGCACGGTGCGGGGGAGCGCCAACACCATTCTCAGAGTTATCAGTGAAAAGCCTGACTGTCCGATTCTGCGGCACTGCGTGTACTGAGCACACACATGTTGCAGGGGTGTCGTGCAGTGCAGGCAAATATTTAAATTAGAATAAATATTTTCCGAAAAATGTTACTAACCTAGTTTTTAAGATCCTTTTTTATGCTACTAATAATATTATGGAATAAATCTATTTTTTTTATTTTAAATAGCACTCTTTTGTACAAAGGATATTATAAATTAGATGAATATTTAAAAGATAAGTGCGAGGACATAATGAGCTTCCCTGTACTCTTTCTTTACTCATGTATATTTTTTATAAGGATAAATAGTAACAGTTGGGAGAAAAATAGAGTTGTTTCTTTTAAGTTTGTTGCCGCTTCTTCTCACAAGGTCTTCCCGCAGAACTTGTTGAACCGATGTCGTATAGCATTTGACTTTCAAAAAGTGCTTCGTAAAAACCATGTTTGAATAAAAAATATTTGACTTTGACTTTGAAGGCCTTATCTACCTTTTATTGCAGAATGCGGAAGAATCACACCGGAGGGAGAGTTCCTCATCATTGACGGTCGCAACGCGAAGCGTGGTGAACTCCCCTGGCACGCTGGGATCTACACTAAGCTCACCATGCCATACATGCAGATATGTGGTGGTTCACTGGTCAGCACAAACGTCGTTATATCAGGTGATTATTATACATCGTAATAATGGTTATCTAACTAATGGTGGTGTGATTAGTGTGGTACTTAAATACTTAGTACTTACTTAATACTTATTATTAATTTGCCATTAGTTTTGACTGCATCATTAATTAAGTGGTCGTAAACGCGAATGCAAAGGCCCCAGGTTTGAATCAGAGGTGGGGCCAAAATCAGTAATTGGGTTTTTCTGTCAAAAAGTAGCAGCCCGGAATCAGAAACTTAGCTGTGATTAACCTCCGTGCCTCGGATAGCACGTAAAGCACCTAAAGATTTTAGAGTGATGCCAAATAGATTTGTTGACTTGGTAACTAATATTTATTATTCGACTACACATCTGCATTCTGATTGTGTTTTAGTTGTCACGATTGTTTGTCAGTTTGACTGTAAATGTATATGACTATATACACTCGAGGAATGCATAATAAACATGAAGTTGTGACTATGTAACTTACCACCAAGTTAAATTTTCAACTAATTGGAAGATTTTAGCAGGTATTCAATGTTTTCGTCGGGATCGATCAGCTGGTGATCTTCTGGTCTACCTGACTCATAGATGGGCGGGGGCAATAGAGTCCAAGGGGGAGGTATTGGCCGTTGGTTTGGACATTGCGAAGGCCTTCGGTCGGGTTTGGCACAAAGCGCTTCTTTCGAAGCTCCCTTCCCATGGACTTCCTGAGAAATTGTGCAATTGGATCACAAGTTTTCTTGCAGATCGGAGCATCAAGGTCGTTGTAGATGGTGCATGCTCCGACTACAAGCCTATTAATGCTGGTGTTCCACAAGGCTGCGTGTTATCACCAACGCTGTTTTTTCTGCATATCAATGATATGTTGCGAAACGGTAACATTCATTGCTATGCCGATGACAACACTGGTGATGTTCTATACACCGGATGTGCCAATATTTCTCAGGAAAACGTCGCCGAGTACCGGGCCAAACTTGTGTCTGAAGTCGAGCCTTTGCTGAACAAAGTCTCGGATTGAGGGCGACTAAATCTAGTCCAGTTTAATCCTCAGAAGATACAAGTTTGCGCGTTTACAGCTAAAAAGAACCCCTTTATCGTTTTTCCTCAGTTTCAAGGCACTCCCCTTGTTGCCTCAGTCAGTATCGGAATCCTCGGCGTCGACATATTGAGTGACGTGCTGTTTCGTGGTCACTTGGAAAAGAAGGCCAAATTGGCCTCTAAAAAGCTTGCCGTGCTCAACAGAGTGGGACAGTATTTCATGCCAGCACAACGCCTGCAACTTCACAACCGCATTGAGCGGTTGATACTTGACCTTATTCAGCGCGGAGCGGATCGAATCGGCGACGACCAAGTCCTTTCCGATCGGCTCGATTCACTGGCGCTGCGAAGAGATGTTGTATCCCTTTGTTTTTTCTGTTTGCATTTTCTTTCGCAATAACCACGAATAGTGCTCTGAGGAATTGTTCGGATTAATCCAAATTTCCACCTTCACCAGTCCATCTTTTTTTTTATAGGATAAGGATGACAAACGAGCACACAGTCCACCTGATGGTAAGTGGTTGCTGTGGCCCATAGACATCTACATTTATCCTCAATTACGAATCAAAATGCAGATGCGTTGTCACCCGTGAGGACTAAGATGGAATGCCTCGTTTCCAGTAAAAAGGGTCTCCAGTTCTCTACACTCACCATACGAAACACATCACCGTTAAGCTGCTATTTTACGCTGGTATTCTGTGAGAGCGTGGTCCTTCCCCGGTCGAGCCGACCCATTCGTGCTACAACTATACTACTAATATAGTTGCAGCATGGCTCTACCACGTTGAGAAAGTCACTTCTTCACACTTCCTCCTCATAATTTACCACCGGCGATTTTCCCGGACCGATACAACTTAGGGACCTTCAAGAAAAGAGCTTACTCCTTTTTAAAAGGCCGGTACGCACCTGCAATTCGCTTGGTGTTGCAGTTGTTCATGGGCGGCGGTAGTCACTTACCATCAGGTGGTACGCTCGTTTGCCACCTCTCCTATAAAAAAATGTATATTATGAAGCTAATGCTGTGCCCAAAGACATCTACATCTATCCGATGACAGAGAAGGAAAATACTTCGTCACCAGTAGAGTGGTCTGGGGTTCTCGGCACTCACCATGCATAAAACGCAATAGCGTACATACGTTTACGATTTCACATATTTGTTATTTGGTCCTGCGCCTAATTTCCCTCCAGTCGTGTCGGATTACTGTTCCATCGAACTATGAGAGTGAGGAAATAGGGAATGCACCTGTGCTTGCGCACACACTCGACCACTATACTCCTGACATTGAATTAGTTTTGTGTGTCGTAAGAGGTGACTATGAGATAAGCCAAAAATATCCTATGGCTTCCTTTATATGACGGTATAGGCTGTAACGATGCACTAACGCTTGGCAGGCGTGTTTTCAACCGCAGTTTTTTATCAATTTGTAGACTTGCAACGAATAGTATATTCGGCCACACGCAGACTACCGAATATTCTGCGGGCTTCCTGCCTGAATAGCCGAAAGTTAGGCAAAAGAATTCGGCCGGAAAGAATAGCCTCTTCTCGGTCTATTCTCTAAAGCTGGGATTGTCTGCGAAAAGAAAAGGCGTAAAAGCTACTGCATGAAAATGCAGAAAAATTAGTCTTTATGCACCATAATCTTCAACTTTAATTACGATAATTCAAGTGCATAGACATTTATGTGATAGTTTTTTTTTTTATAATACGAAAGTTGGTTATGTAATGTACATAATCAACCTTCGTTCGACTACTATAATGATTAGAAGAAAAATACATTTTAATGAAATAAATAAATACTTTAATTTTGCCAATTGTCTGACTACAACGAATTCAACCGAATAGTACCTAGTATATTCGGTATTCTACGGAATAGCACAAAAGTAGCTGAATAGGCCGACTACCGAATAATAGACGATATTTATCGCAACACCAACGCGCTAACTTTGCACGTGGTAGAGCATGTAGCAATAGTATAGTTGTAGCTCGAATGGGTCGGCTCAACCTGGGAAGGACTACGCTCTTACAGAATACCAGCCACCATACCGTATGGTGAGTGTAGAGAACTGGAGACTTTTTTTACTGGAAAAGAGCATTCCATCTTAGTCCTCACGGGCGACAAAGCATCTGCATTTTGATTCTTTATTGAGGATAGATGTAGATGTGTATGGGTCACAATAAGCACTTAGCAATAAAATAGGGGATGTGCAACAGCACATGTTTTATTTCCCACGGGATGATATGGGACAGTGGATATTCTTACGCCGCAACTACAAAACACTTAATAAGTTAGTATTAAATCCTAAATATTCTCTTTCCGTAGCTGCCCATTGCTTCTGGAACGATCTACAGAAAAAACTTCCGCCGACAAATTACGCTGTAGCTGTCGGTAAGCTGTACCGCCCTTGGAACAATCCTCAGGATGTGGACGCACAGAAGAGTGATGTGAGTTGTTTTTTATTCAAAATATAAGAAACAAAGAGTACACAAAGTGAATTATTTTAACCCTACAGCAGAAACCACAACGGTTTAGTTGCTGTGGTAGATTTATACATTTATTGACTAATCAACTAATCACTTAGTATATTAATAAATATGTAAATTTCAGATAAATCACGTATAAACACATTAGATGAGGAAATTTACAGTAATTATGTTATTATCTAAGATACTATTAATATATTATACTAACTTATAATAATACAACATACACATAACACACCATAGCGACCATCTAGTTATTTGATTCGAAACTCTCTTAGTGTTCTTTTAGCTATTTTTACTTTATAATATTTTACTTTATTAAAGATAGTCAGAGGAAGTTCGTTAAGTAAAGAGAGGAGCAGGTATTCCCATGTGCACTTGTCATAAATGTTATGATAAGTTGTTTTGACTGTCATCTTTTAGACTACCCTCCTGGTTATTTCAATACATTGGATTAGTAATGGTGGCCAGGTGACTAATGGCTAAGCGGTCACCGCGTTAAATACTAAATCTCAAGTTTATTCTATTAAAAGTACACTCCTTAACATAAGCTTCCCCATATATTTTAACGTGAAGGGAATATTCGTCATAATTACCATGTTTGATAGGCGGTTTTGCCACCGCAGCCTATTTATTATTCAATTGAATACTATCATTTAAAAATAGCTGTTGCAATATTAAGTCTCCTGGTCTCCAAGTTTAAAAAATTATTGTAGATAACAGTAAAGTGAAAACAATTACAAAGAGATATAAACCCTAGAAAGTCTTGGCTATTTTCATGTGTAATAAATGTATACGCAATATAACGCAAAAAAAAGTAATTTAAAGCAAAATAAATTAGTATCAACAGAATTATTGAATATAGAAAATAATCCCTACTCGTCTCTAAATAAAGTAAATGAGTACTTTACCTCCATTGTTGATGAATTGGCTCATTGTATTCTGGACAAAAAAATGATAATGATTCGTCTCCCGTAAAGCCAATAAATTACACAATACCCTATTTCAATCGATGTCAATTAGTCCAGTAGATGCAGGTGAAGTCAAAATATTATTAGTAGCCTTAAAAATAGCAGTGCCTCAGGATGGAATGGAATACCTACTAATGTACTTAAATGCTTTCAAGAAATTTTAGCAGAACGAATTTAAAACGATTAAAAAGTCAATAGTAATACCAATTCATAAATCAGATTACAAATCTTTAACTTCTTATTATATACCTATTTCACTCTTTTATGTTTTATCCAGATATCGAAAAATTATAATACAAAACAGTGGTAGAGCCACGCGGCAGCTTTTGCTGTCGCACGGATGGGCCGGCTCGAACCGGGGTGGTACCACGACCTCACAGAAAACCAGCGTGAAGTAGAGGTTTACCTCTGCGTTTCGCTTGGTGAGTGCAGGTGGCCGGAGGCCCTTTTTACTGGAAATGAGGCATTCCATCTTAGTCCTCACGGGTGACAACGCATCTACATTTTGATCTGTAATAGAGGATAGATGTAGATGTCTATGGGCCGCAGCAACCACTTACCATCAGGTGGACTGTGTGCTCGTTTGTCACCCTTATCGTATAAAAAAAAATTATATTTCAAAAAATCAATTCGGGTTAATACCTAATAAATCAACTGAAGATTCTTTTCTTAAAATTATAAAAAATACTATTCAATCTATATGAAAGTGATAAGTGTATAGTTGTATTTACAGATTTGTAGAAAGCTTTTGATACTGTGTCGATTCTAATTTTGTTAAGTTGAACACAAAATGTAGGTGTCCGAGGTGTAGCTATACCATGGCTTAGAACTTATTAAACTGGAAGAACTTAGTATCTCAAAATTCATAAATGTGTCAGTAAAGGTCTTTCTAGTTCTTAACGTGTCCCACAAGGTAGTACGCTCGGGCCAACCCTATTCTTAACATATATAAATCAATCAGCCGAACTAGAGTTTGAAGGGGCATACATTACAATATATGCAGATGATAATTCGACGGTAATTCTATTCAATAATAGTACATCAGAAAAAAACCAAATACTTGGTTGAAAAGGGGTTATGTGAAGAGGCAAATTGGCTCGATAGTCTTAGTAAAGTCTTAACTAAATAGAATGTTTGGAGTCCTTTGAGTGATCTTGAATTACAAATACATTTGAGTAAATTCAAAAGAGGTTTGCAAGAGTTGGGGCTAGGATTAAGACAGGAATGCTTCCGTAGCTTAGATACGTAGATGCTGCAAAAGTGAGTGGTAGAGTTGGACGTCCTAGACGACAGGCAGTATCGACCAAGTTGTACTGAAGACTAGCTGTTTCCCGCGACTTCGTCCGCGTGGAATTTATTACGATTGTATTTCATGGATTTTAATTTGTTTTACGCGGAAGCCTAGTTATATTCTCTAAAATAAAATGTAGATGTCAGTCAGTCTAAGTTCTTCCTTACTAAATTAGCAGACTGGACTTTCACTGGCAGATATCCCGTCCCGTCAAAATCGATTTAACTCTTTCGGAGAATAACCGGAACAAACAGACGGACAAAATTTTTAAAATTGTTTTTTCTTGTTAAGTACTTACCGTATGTATACTTTCATATACATTTAGTATAAAAGCTGCGTAGATACTTCATTTTTATTTATTTGTACAGATTTGTTTAAATGGCCCAAATTAAGTGTACCCATAACCAACGAGCATGTATGCGTAGGTATATGGTATGTCATGACCGTGGCAAATCGAAGTCCGTAGTCTCCGCCTACCCCTCTTGGTTACAAGCGTAAGATTTTATAGCTGTCCCCCGCGACTTCGCCCGTGTGGAATTTATTACGATTTCATAGGTTTTAATTTTTTTGCGCAGAACCCTAATTATTTTTCTGAAATAAAAGTATCCTAAGTTACTCCTAATAACATCAGCTATCTGCTAGTGAAAGTCCCGTCAAAATCGGTCCAGCCGTTTCGGAGATTAGCCGGAACAAACAGACAGACTCACAAAAAAATTTAAAAATTGTTTTTTATTGTTAGTAACGCTATCGTATATACTTAATATGTATTTAGTAAAAACTGTTATTTTAACATTACAAACAGACACTTCAACTTTATTTTTTTTATATTTGTATATGTATATGTGTTTGTATATTAATTGATATACATGTATTTTTCTATAAACATAAACACATCGCAAAAAAGAAGTTATGCCACTCTGCATACTAAAACATTTTCGTGTTTTTTGCAGGTGAGCGACATAAGAATCCCGCCACGTTTCCAAGGCTCGGCCAGTAATTTTCAAGACGACATCGCCCTGGTGATCCTGACGACGATTATCGAATACAAGACGTATGTGCGACCGGTGTGCTTGGATTTTGACATCAACTTCGATAGGCGACAGTTACAGGAGGGACATATTGGCAAGGTAAACTTCCTGATTTACTTTCACTACCATATAATATATACGATTCTGAAAAGCCACAAACCTTGGTTTCTGAACGAGCAACTCATTCCCCGCCAGCCCAGTGAAGGAGGATCAGCAACTCCGCTGTCGCCTTCTGATTCAGCCGTTGACAATAGCCGGCGCATAACGTCTTCTTTTTAACCGACTTCAAAAATTAAATTCGACTGTATGTTTTTTTTTGTGTGCGTTACACCACATAACTTTTTTCTTGGTGAACTGATTTCGATGATCCTTTTGTTGATTTATTTGAAAGATGGTGCTTCACATGTGGTCCCATATAAATTAGATCAAGGCTTGACCAATAGTTTTGAGTTATTCTTAATAATTTATATTGAAGTTGGTTGTACAAAATTTTAATTTTAAATTATCTAATGTAGTTTTTCTAAAGAATAAGAGTGACAATCAAGCACGCAGTCCACCCGATGGTAAGTGGACGCTGTCCATAACCATACCATAGACATCCACATATAATAAACTGCATTTTGTAGCTTAATCAGACGCATTACCACCGCAGATGAATGACAATAACATGGAATGTCTCGTTTCCAGTGAAAAGGGTTTCTGGTTCTCTACACTCACCATACGAATGCAGCATTAAGTCCTTTATCGGTCAAGTCGACACAATTGAACAACTGTAATATAGTTGCTACAGTATGATAATGCAGCATCTACAGCGTGGCTCTACTATGTTAAACACGTACACGAAGACCTCATAATTTTAAAATGAAAAATAATGCAATAGTTAAATAATAGTTGCTATTTTTATTACAATAAAAATCCAGGAAATCGACTTCTCTCTCTTTCTTGATATAAAACGAGAGCGAAATCTTACTCTTTTTTTTTTACCGATTTTTAACTTTTTTCTAGGTGAATCGATTTCGATGATTATTATAAAGCTGATGCTTCTCATGTGGTCCCATATAAATTTGATCTAAGTCTGACCGGTAGTTTTTGAGTTATCCATAATAGCAATTATTGAAGTCTGCTGTACAATATTTTTAATTTTACCACTTGTTTAAATACAGTATACACATTTTTATATGAGACGTGATCTGTGTAATTTTCAATATTTACTTCTGTACAAGAGGATCTCCCCCCGTTGGGAGGGTCCGTTGCGATGAGTTTCGCTCCGGATTCACTCTGGAATATCAAATATCACTATCATCATCGTGATCGTCGTCATTACAGACCTTCACAAGATCTGCATCGAATCGCTATCAATAAGTTATAAACTATTGATAAAATCTATCAATAACTTGACTACAGCTATCAAAAGTCCACTGCTGAGCAAGTGGATCTCCCGTTGGGAAGGTTTGCCATAATCGTCACGCTCGAAAACCCAGGTCCAGTCAATCACCAAAGTCTTCCAGGTTGCAGGTTGGGGCCTGACAGCCGAGAACGGCCAAGCATCGCCGGTGCTGAAGGTTGTGGACTTGCCTTACGTGAAAATTGAGAAGTGCATTGCACAATCACCGCCCGGATTCCGGGAGTACATCACAAGCGACAAGATCTGCGCGGGATATGGAAACGGTAGATTGTGGTTTTCTTTTTTTCTTTCATAAAATAAAATTGATTCATGAAATACAGTCCACCTGATGGTAAGTGGCTACTGCAGTCTATGGACATCTGCAGACTTCTTCAAACGAAGAAGGCTACAGATGCGTGGAACCAAAATAGAACGACTTGCAGCCTTTTTTTTATAGGACAGGGTGACAAACGAGTACACAGTCCACCTGATGGTAAGTGGTTGCTGTGGCCCATAGACATCTACATTAATCCTCGATTATGAATCAAAATGCAGATGCGTTGTCATCCGTGAGGACTAAGATGGAATGCCTCGTTTCCAGTAAAAAGTGTCTCCGATTCTCTACACTCACCATACGAAACACAGCAGTATTAAGCTGGTATTCTGTGAGAGCGTGGTCCTTCCCCGGTCGAGCCGACCCATTCGTGTTACAACTATACCAGAAATATAGCTGCAGCATGGCTCGACCACGTAAAAAAGTTTTTGAAGTAATACTTCTTTTGGGGGGTTGAGAAAAATAATGTGAGTGAATTTTTACGATGCGCGCGCACACCGACGCCTAAAAACGACACCATGAAGTTGTTACGATGCGCGCGCACACTGACACCTAAAAGCGACAAATTCGGTGGGTAATTGACACTCAAGTGTTTTTTTTTTGTTTTGTTACGCTCACAGAACACAATTACTCTCTACCATGAGGTTACGCTAAAGAAGTATAACTTCCTACGTGCGTACATAAGTACACACATATTTCTTTGTTACACAATGTCATTTAATTGAGAAGTTAGTTCTTATAAAAGTTTATCAGTTTCTAGAGTATTAATACACAAAACAACGCCTCATGGTTTGCTCTTTAATTTTTGCACATTTTTATTTTTTTTAATCTTTCTACTTTTATAAATATCTGTGTTTTGGTTCATTTATTTTTAATCTAATTATTATAAAATATAACTAATGGTATAGAAAGAAACATTAACCTTTACATTTTCCGAAGATATTAACTTAGTCTGTCAAATTATACCTCACTTTTAAGTGACGCCGCCCTGGTGGCAAAAAAAGTCGTGGATGCTCTCATTAGATCTGAAAATTACAGGATTTAGCTATAAAACAGTAACAAAAGGAAGTAACAGAAGTATCTACCTGAGAAAGTGAATCGTAGAATTGTAAATAAAAGGAATTAATGAACGCAATGACAATATTCATTTCAAGTACCTACATTTTGTCAATGGCACATTATAAAATAACATATATCACAAACCTTCTTGTCACTCCGATGGCTCGTTCTCGAATGATTCTCGACTTTTAGTTTTTAATCCATAGACAATATTTGACGTCACTTCAACACAATCGAGTCGAAACGTAGTCGATTATTTTCTCGGTTATAACAAGACTTGACCATAGACTCTTTATTATTGATGGACAACTACTCAAATAAACAAGTCTTGTTGCAATCTACAATACAGTCCACTGTTGGACACAAACATAATGTAATTAATGAGAGGCGTAATAGTTTAGATTAAGAACATAAGTGATGGTCTTTAAAATTAAATTCGACCCTCGTCAGCACCAATGTAATTCTTCACCCTCATTAGCCCGTAAAAGTCCACAGCTGCATAGAGGTTTCTACCGTTGCGTTGTAGGAAGAATTTGTCTTAATCACCTGATCACCACGCTTGGTGTGGCTTGACGCATGACCTGGTGTGGTTCTACCCGACGCCAGTGTGTGTAATTTATATATACGAGATGGTTATCGGGATTACCAGATATAACCGGCGGTCAACAGCTATGAAATCTTAATTTTAAGGTGGTTGACATCAAAGAGTATACAAATTATTACGTTTTAAAAGAGTTTTAAATGGATAAAGCAATGGCGTGGATGAAGCAACATATTTCTTTTATTAAAACTATTACACATGATTAATTTTTTTTATAAAATGAAATTCACTAACACCATTAACATTACTAATGCCCCCGTTATCACTCCAAGTAAACTGAAAAATCCTTTGTGATAAGTGGTTCACGAATCACGACGTTAGTCGAATTGCGGATTCGAACCCAAGACTTTCCAACTCTGCGATCCACACCATTACTAATAGGCTACGGTCGGATTTTATTAGTTTTATTAGTTTTTACGCGGTAGAGCTATGCTGCCATAATACTAGTGTAAGTGTAACACAAATGGGTCAGTTCGACCGGAGAAGGGCCACGCTCTCACAGAATACCAGCGTAGAATAGCAGCTTAACGCTGCTGCGTTTTGTGTGGTGGGTGTAGAGAACCGGAGACTCTTTTTACTGTAAACGAGGCATTCCACCTTAGTCCTCTGGAGTGACAACGCTTTTGCATTTTGATTAGTAATTGAGTATACATGAAGATGTCTATGGGCCACAGTAACCACTGTGTGCTCGTTTGTCACCCTTATGCTATAAAAATGTTTCTACATTACGATGAACTTTAAAATAATTACCACACTTTTAAAAAGATAGTAAGAACACATTAAATTATACTTGTTGTTATCTCTTCCTCGTTGATCAAAGAACCACAAAGGTAGTTGTCACTAATACCTTTGCGATTCTTTCATCGTCATCGAACGAACAACAACAGGAATAATCTCAATCGAACGGTGCTTACATAGATAAATAAATATGTAGCAAGGTCAGGTAAATAAATAATATTTCGAAGACATGCCAAGTTCGACAACACGCATTGGGGTAGCGCGGCGAACATTTCCTTCCCCTAAAACCCTTTCAGAAATGTGGGGAGGCCTGTGCCCATCAGTGGGACGTATATAGAATGTTAGTTCTAAGGACAGGTAAGGTTGTTTGATGGTTCAGGTATTCTTTTTACAGGAACGGCACTCTGCAAGGGAGACAGTGGAGGCGGCCTCGCCTTTCCGGAGTCAGATAGAGGAACCGAGCGTTTTTACCTCCGGGGTATTGTCTCCACAGCACCGAGCAATGAAAATCTTTGCAACGCCTACACCCTCACGAGTTTCACCCAAGTGTCGAAACATGAACATTTTATTAAAGAATCGTTGCTCTAGTATCAGAGTGTTAATTTTATAGTCTAATTCTATCAGTCAGATTATGTTGTTTTTTTTTATTTATACCCGATTGCATCAAAGCCCGAAAAAAGGGTAATGTTTTTGCCCGAATGTAAGTATGTATATATTTATGTGAATGTAGGTCCGTTTATACGTTAGCTCACAAGCTAGTCTTCAGATTTTGACAAACGAGATCTCAATAGATATTTCATATTTTTTATTTTATTCAATATAGATTACAAGTAATTCTAACTTATTTCTTTTTTACTTTTACCGCTATGTTCGGAAAAACCCTGTCCTGCAAGGAACCAGAAAGAAACATAATTTTAACTTTAAAGTTGTACAAAGTACTTAAAACAGCTTGAAAGCGACCAATTAATTCCTAGGGGTTAATATCATGTTTATGTTTAAATATTTAAACTTGGTAATTGAGACCATGTTTATATTCTGGGACTTTGTTGTAATATCGCATACATTGGCCTTAATAAATGAATTACTGACTTTGTTGAGTCGAGAAACTGTGGTGGTGTTTTTTTTTTAATAAAACTACTTTTTTGTGAACAGTACAGTACAGTAAATATACTGAGATTCACGTGCACGTACCAGCGCGCGATTCTGTTGCTTCAAACTTCAAGGGCACCGCTACGTCGTCGTGCGGGCTGTCCGCTGCACGCGGCGTGGGCGTCCTGTACCCGACGAGTACATGTCACGTGGTCCCGCTCGTGGGCTTGATTAATTTCGTTTTATAAAATAAGAGTGACAAACGAGCACACATTCCACCTGATGATGGTAAGTGGATGCTGTGGCCCATCAAAATGCAGGTGCGTTGTTAGTGAAAAAGGTCACCGTTTCTCTACATTCACCATACGAAACACCGCAGTATTAAGCTGCACTTTTAGACTGATATTCTGTTCCATGTAAATAAATCAGCCTATTAAAATAAAATTATAAAAAAGAAACATCCTGACTATGACTATATAATATACGGGAAACAGCGTTATAAATGCGATATATCTGGTATATTGCGATTGATAGACACCTGCCTAGAAAATCAAACAATATGATAAATAATTAAACTACTGAAAATGATACGAATATAGACGTATGGCCTTGCGAGTTGCATGCGTTGGGCATCGCAGAACTCACATAGTAGCGGAAATATGGTCGATCATAGTCAGAATTGGTAGTACCTGAGTAACTTACTTACCATTTCACAATGTATTTTTTTACTCTTTATTAACAGCCCATAGTAACCATGGAAAGATCGTCGTGACGTGGGAAGGGGAAAAGATGCAAAGTAATACGGATACTCCCGTGCAGTGATAAAGTTTTATTTAGCTTACGTGCGCGATGTATCTGATTAATAATATTTATGTAGGTTATTAAAACGTCGGCGAGCAGTCAACATCAAAGCAGTACAACTTCTGTACGAAGTACTATTATTTATTCTGTGCCACTGGTAGTTAGTTCAAAAAAACCTCCTTACAAAGTCCAACCAGCATAACAGCAAAACAACAATAAAAAAACTCCGGTTGCCAACCCGCTCGCCAAGCGTGGCAACTATGGCAATATACCCCATGATGAAAATTCCTGGCTACGGTGGCGACCATGGTAACGTCGGAGCAGGGGGTGCTAAGAATCTCCGGTGGAGGTTCGGTTGCCACCTAAGACGACTCGACCTGGCAACATACAACGCACGCACCCTGAAGACTGACGAGAAGATCGTGGAGCTGGAAGAAGAGATAGACAAGTTGCGCTGGAATATTATAAGATTATCCGAGGTCCGAAGAGATGGGGAGGACACGGTAATCTTCGAATCCGGCAACTTGTTTTATCACCGGAAGGGCGACCATCTGTCCCAAGGAGGTGTCGGATTTATCGTCCACAAGTCTCTCGTTAACAACGTTGTAAAGATTGATAGTGTGTCGACGAGGGTTGCGTACCTTATACTCAGAATCAACAAACGGTATTCGCTAAAGATCATACAGGTTTATGCACCAACCTCGGCACATCCTGATGTATGAGGATATATCTAGAGCCATGCATTCCTCCAAAACCCACTATACGGTGTTAATGAGAGACTTCAACGCACAAGAGAGAACGATGAGCTGAAGGTAGGGCAATTTGGAATAGGGCAAAGAAACCCAAGGGGCCAGCAGTTGGCCGACTTCATGGAGAAAGAGGGACACTTTATGTCGAACTCTTTCTTCCAGAAGCGGCCCCACAGGAAGTGGACCTGGTCGAGCCCCGACGGTTCGACAAAAATGATAAAATAAGACTTCATTATGACTACCAGACGACAATTGTTCAGTGATGTCTCAGTGATCGCGAGGATGAAAACTGGTAGCGATCACCGAATGGTTAGAGGCACACTGAACCTAAACGTTAAGTTGGATAGGTCTCGTATAATAAAGTCAACGCTCCGTCCCCCTTCGTGCTCTAATCGAGAGTCCTGAAACCTATCAGCTCGAGCTACAAAACCGTTTAAAGTGCCTAGAAGATTTCAATGCAGTGGACGATATGAATGACAATATCGTGGAAACTATCCATGCGGTCAGAGCTATGTTCTGCAAGACCCGCCGCAGAAGAACACAAAAACTCTCCGATCACACTCTTAAACTCATAGCTGTTAGACGGGAAATGAAGCTGCAGTTTTCAGCAGATTTAGCAGCGTACAAGCAACTGAACAAGCAGATCTCCAAATACATGCGGCGGGACTTACGCAACTTCAATACAGCACGTATTGAAGAAGCGATCGAGCGAAACCAGGGCTCCAAAGTCTACTAGAAATCTGTCTACCAGACAAAGCCAACCGTCGAAGCTGAAAACTGAGTGTGGCAGCGTCGTTTCCGACGAAATTTTAAGTGAGATTGAGAGGTTTTACGGGCAGCTGTACACATCATGGTTTGAGCTACATGCAAGTGTGAGTAACGATCTAAGAGCAAGTCTTATCCAACACTATTCCGAAGATATTCCGGACGTCAGTTTGAGCGAGTTTATAATAGTTCTCCAGCACCTTAAAAACGGCAAGGCACCAGGCGGGGATGGAATTACAGCGGAGCTTCTGAAAGAGGGTGGAAAACCGGTACTTAAAGTCCTTCAGAAACTCTTTAACTCCGTCCTCCATGGTGGTACTACGTCGGAGGCGTGGAGCAGAAGAGACTGATTCCCTCTCCTGAGGAGAGGGTAAGAAGATTCTCCGGTAACCACTTTTATATGAGAGGTGATATAAGAGATGGCTTCTAAGGCCGTCTCTTTAGTTTCAATAATGTCTGACATTCTTGATCTGAATATTCTGAATTCATAGATTTGAGTTTAGCCTCGAACCTATGCCAGTCCGTTACAGTTTTGGTTGGAGAAACCTCACTACTGCACTGACCTAAAGCCACGAGGACCGGGCGATGGTCCGATCTTAACTCATGCACCGCTTCTATAGAGCGTTAAGTTAAGGTTACATTCCTGAAGACGGCTATCTCGATTCTGACGAGCTATGAAACTTAATCAGTGGGTATCTAGTCACCTCAGGAAGAATTAATATATCGAAATTTAGACTATCACTGAGAGCTAATAGATTATACTCGTAGCCTCTAGTATTGTTTTTAATATTGTTATTATTAAGCCAGATATATTTACAAAACTATTTACAGATATTTAATGAGCGTTTTGACTTAAAAGTAAGCCATTCCTGTTAAAATAACATGCTTTAATTCCTCCCTCCCATTTCTGCCATGAGACAACCGGGCAGTCGGCGGGCGGTCGTTACTTTGTTTTTAAACCCCGACGAAGAAGAGTGTTGTATATTTAACGCGTGTACTTATGTATCTGTCTTCAGCACTTAGACAAAATCCCTAAAAAGATAGACTCGCCCGAGGAGGCCAATGAGGCGATTAGCGCCCTATCGGTCGGCCCTCTACAGTTGAAGAATGTTATCTTAGGGTTCGTGTGTCGAGCAATCGACATATGAAGCTTACAAGTGATATTCGGCAGCTGATTAGAGCGAAGAAAGCGGCCTTAAGATATAACGATTACTATGGTACTAAAGATAACAAAAATTGACTTCGCAGTCGCACCCTCCAAAACGAGGTAAAACGCCGTATCAAAGAGTTTAGACATGACAAGTGGGATAATCAGCTGGAAGATATCGAGCCATCTCAAACTGCCTTCTGGTAATTGACCCGAGCTCTGAAAGCAGAACAATCCTCACCTAGGCCGCCTCTCATCAGCCCAGGATTCGATCTCGCCGTTGACGATTCTGAAAAGGCCGAATGCCTCACGGTCAGTTTAGAGAGCCAATGTCGCTTAAATCTAGCGAATCTACAGATCGCGCTCACCTTGCAAGAGGTAGAAGCGGAGGTCGAGCGTAAGTCTGCACTACTACCAGCGGGCGACCCTATAGATCCTGTGACTGCCGACGAAGTCACAGAAGTAATCAAAATCCTTAAAAAGAAATCAGCACCCGGCCCCGATGGCATTAGTAATAGGGTACTGAAATCTTTCTCCGCGCCACTCTTTTGCCTCCTAGTAGGCATATTCAACGCTCTTTTTTCCAGTTGCTCCTTCCCGGATGCATAGAAAGAGGCAGACGTAATAGAAATCCCAAAACCGGGGAAACCACACAACTTAGCCTCTAGTTACAGACCAATTAGTCTCCTCAGCACACTGGGTAAAGTTTACGAGCGACTCATATTGAATCGCCACCGTAAACACGTCTTCTCCAACAAACTTCTTCCAGGCGAGCAGTTCGGCTTCAGACCCGAACACTCGTTCGACACTTCAACACCGACCAATTACATCGCCTCAAAGAATACATTCTGAAAGGATTCAACCTTGAACCAACCAGACACAAGTTTGCGCGTTTACCGCTAAAAAGAACCCCTTTGTCGTATTTCCTCAGTTTCAAGGCACTCCCCTTCTTGCCAGCTCCTTCCACTTGACCGCATCCAGTGCAGAGCGGCTCGAATCGTCGACGACCGAGTCCTTTCCGATCGGCTCGATTCATT